AAATGTAAAATTAAAAAAAAAATCAGAGAATATGTGACAGAGACTACATGTAGCTTGCAAAGCCTAAAATACTTTAAAATATTTACTATGTGAGCCCTTTACAGAAAAGGTTTGACAACCTCGAGGGCCTCATAAATTGTTTACTTACTAAAGCTTAAGGACATATTTGCCCTAGGAAAGATATTTGAAAAAGAAAAGAAAGCATGAAAAGAAAAACATCTCTTTATACAAAAATTACTGTAAATAATTAGACACAACCTAAGCACTTTTCATGAATGACAAAGTAAAAGAAATCTCTTTTTAGGTAAGACTTGAAATGTATGGGGATAATAAACATGAATAATGTTTAATTCTTGGGGAGAGAAAGGGGGCTGGAGAGGGATACAATGGGGCTCCAATTGTAATGATTGTTTTGTTTCTAATTTAGGTGATGGACACACAGATGTTTGTTACTTTGTTCTCCATAACTTTTTATAGGTCTGACATATTTTGTAACTAACAATAAAAACGAAAATTAAAGAAAATAAAACCATCCAGAAAAAGCAGTATTGTCTAGCCTTATTAAACAATCAAAATAATCTAAAACTTTGCGTCTGTGGGGGCCTGGCTGGCTCAGTAGGTACAGCATGCAACTCTTATCTCTGGGTTGTGAATTCGAGCCTCACACTGGGTGTAGAGATTGCCTAAAAATAAAATCTTTAAAAAATAAATAAAAATTTGCATTTTTTATTACAGGCTGTTATTTTTTTTTCAATCTTCAAAACAAGTAACTGTTAACAGAAACTCTAGAGTACATCTAGTAAGTGGTCGAACTTAAGGTTACCATCAAATTTTCTCTCTGACACCTAGTTCAGAAAGCTAGCTATTATCTTTGACATCTACAATTCAAGTCACCAAAGCTGAGGAGGCAATAATTTAAGACAGTTTCTTCACACATTTTAAAAATAACCCCTTTTTAAAAATTTTAGAACTTTTGGATTTACAGAAAAGTTGCTGATAGTTGGTAGAATTTTTAAAACAACAGCAACAAAAACAGACACACAAAACACACAGACCAGTAAACTGTGGAGGGCTTCTAAAAAGCTGAATAAATCAATCTCTAATTAAGCAACAGTTTGTATAACGAGTATGTTCTTTCTCTACTAATTTTAAAATTGGGGAGTTATTTGGAAACCAATCTGGGGAGAGCTGAACACCTCCACCCCACTCACCCGGAAGAAACTATCTCCTTTGGTCTAAGACCAAGTTGCAGTACAATCAGAAAGCTATACTGGCCTTAGTTGTCTCCTTTTAAAAACATAAACTCACTCTATAAGCTAATCTTTAAAATTTAAATATAATGATGTTTTCTTGTTTGGTAGGGATTAAGAAAACATAGTATCTACAAGAAAGAGAACAAATGATCGATTGTGCTTTTAGAAATGATGGAGAGGACGGTAATCCCAACATCGGTACTAAAACACCTGCAAAGTAGGTATGCAGTCTTATTTCCAAACTGAGAAACTGCAAGAAGTGGCATATACAAGTGCCACCTAAATCTTTTCCAACATTAGTTTTTTAAAAGAACATACTTTTCCCTAAAGACCCGCGATCAAATTCTCCTTCTGAATAGCGGTTTAAAATATAACCTCCTGTACAAATACCCTTTCTTCGGAAACAGGCACTAATTTACTCACAGCAATCTGGTGTCATTTTTATCGACCGAATGCGGAAAACTGCGAAACAGGAAGGTTTGCTCCCCGCAGAAACTGCAAACAAAATTCCTCTCTCCGGACAACACAGGAGGGAGCCTAGCAGCAAAGCCCCGCACTCCCAATCCTGCCGGGTTCGCCCTACCTGCATCTCACCACCACCTGGATGTTCTTTCCCTTCTCCTCTTTCTTCTTCGCGGAGGAATTCGGCTGGGACGCCATGACGATCCCCGCGCGAAGGTCAAGGCCTGGCTGTGGACTCGGGAGCTGTGGGGCGCGGAGGGGCCCTGCGGTCGGCGCGGCCCGGGTGCCCACCTCCCCCGCCGGGTACTGACGTGGCCGGGGAAAGCCACGCGAGCAGCTCGACGTCTCCGCTCTCCACCAGGGGCTCTGACTGACCGAGGCGCCTGTCCCGCACTAGCGGGAGCCTCGGAATCACCAATATCGTCTCCGCCCGAAGCCTCGGAAACAGAGCAACGACTCGGCGCCTCAATTTGAAAAAGGAGCCGAGACGCCGAGCCAATAGCAGCGCCCTGGGCGCGCGGGGCACCATGGGACGCGGTGTCGTCACCAGGGCCCCCGCCCTCGGGGCGTGGCCCGCGGGAAAGTAAGAAGCTGGTCTGTCCTTACTCGCCTGGAACTTAGTCCGATGGGGGAGCCGCGCGAGTAAACACTGTGACTCTTCAACGTGACCTTGTCCAAGTTACATAACGTCTGTAAACCAAGATTTCCTCATCTTCAAAATGGAAATAATAGCAACCACTTCAGAGGGTTCGGTGAGAATTGAGCTAGCGCGGGCAAATAGCTTAGACTAGAACATGTAGTGTCAGGAAAGCTGGCCATGATTATAATTAGCGAATTGTACGACAGTGTTATGGAAGCACATAGGAGAGAGGTCCAAAGCGAGCCCCTTTCTCGGAGGCAGCGTCCAGAATAGCCTTGAGTAACTAGGAAGTGTTAAGAAATAAGGTTACCACGAGTACCAAATCGCGATGAAATGGATGTTAAATGTCACTTTTAGGACTCTGAATTTATCCTTTAACTGATGAGAAGATGTCACCGTTAAATGGTTCCAAGCAAAAGGCAGTACCGCACTTGCCTTTTCGGACTACCATTCCGGAACGACTGACGCAGGCTCAGGGCGCGCTTCGCTCCCTCTACTTGGCGCCGCATCCCCCTCCCCTCCCCCGGGGCGTCTCAAGGAGTTTGAGCTAGCGCCCGCAGCCGTCAGCCTACAAATCCCAGCAGGCTCCGCTCCGTGGGTGGGCCCCGCCCCCGCTGGGTAACTTCCGGCTTTCCGTAGCCGTATTGCGAGCGACCTGGCGCTGTTTGGGGTGACTGGACAGCTTCAGGTGTAGGACCTGGGCCCAGGAAATACTGAATCATGGGCCTATGCCGTAGTCAGCTCAAGGAGCTGAGCTTCTGGGTCACACTTAGCCCACAGGAACCTAGGTATCATTTAATTTTTTTTTTTAAAGATTTTATTTATTTATTTGAGAGAGAGAGAAAGCATGAGGTGGGGAGGGTCAGAGGGAGAAGCAGACTCCTCGCTGAGCAAGGAGCCCGATGCAGGACTCGATCCCGGGACTCTAGGATCATGACCTGAGCCGAAGGCAGTCGCTTAACCAACTGAGCCACCCAGGCGCCCTATCATTTAATTTTTTTAAGTAAGTGCCAGATGGAATGGAAAACTCTCAGGTGCCTTTTGTGTTCCTCTACTTATTAACTTCCTGCATTCCCCCAAGGAGACATCTCAGTATACAGCTCGGATCGCTGGTCACCTTCATTATGCATAGCTAGGTGTCTACTGTTATCTGTGATGGCTCACCAGCATCTCAAAGTGGACCTGTACAAAACGAAACTCTTTATCCCCGTTACCACCACCCTAATCCTCATCTGGACCCATGGCACTAACCAGACCTTTGATTCCTTCGTCCTCCACCACATCCAGTGCACTCCTGTTGGTTTTACTGCCTCCGCCATCACTCTAGGCCAAGTCTCTCTCTCTTTTTTTTTTTTAATTTAAATTCAATTAATTTCAGAGGTAGAGTTCAGTGATCCATCAGTCTTAAATAATAGCCAGTGCTCATTACATCACATGCCCTCTGGTCCATCACCCAGTTACCCCATTCCCCCCACCACCCTCCCCTTCAGCAAACCTCCAATTTGTTTCCTATGATAAAGAGTCTCTTAATGGTTTGTCTCCCTCTGTGATTTCCTCTTGTTTTATTTTTCCCTCCCTTTCCCAATAATCCTCTGTTTTGTTTCTTAAATTCCGCATGAGTGAGATCATATGGTATTTGTCTTTCTCTGATGGACTTATTTGGCTTAGCATAATACCCTGTAGTTCATCTATGTTGTTGAAAATGGCAAGATTTCGTATTTTTTTTTTGATGGCTGAGTAGTATTCTACTGTGTGTGTGTGTGTGTGTGTGTGTGTGTGTGTGTACCACATCTTCTTTATCCATTCATCTATTGATGGACATGTGAGCTCTTTCCATAGTTTGGCTATTGTGGACGTGGCTGCTCTAATAAACATTGGGGTATAGGTGCCCCTTCGGAGCACTACATTTGTATCTTTGGGATAAGTACCCAGTAGTGCAATTGCTGGATTGTAGGGTAGGTCTCTTTTCAACTTTTTTTTTTTTTTAAGATTTTATTTGACAGAGAGAGTGATAGCGAGAGCAGGAACACAAGCAGGGGGAGTGGGAGAGGGAGAAGCAGGCTTCCTGCTGAGCAGGGAGCCCGACGCAGGGCTCGATCCCAGGACCCTGGGATCATGACCTGAGCCGAAGGCAGATTCTTAACGACTGAGCCACCCAGGCGCCCCTCTTTTCAACTTTTTGAGGAGCCTTCATTCTGTTTTCCAGAGTGGCTGCACCAGTTTGCACTCCCACCAACAGTGTAAGAGTGTTCCCCTTTCTCCGAACCCTCACAACATCTGTCATTTCCTGTATTGTTGATTTTAGCCATTCTGACCCATGGGAGGGTGTATCTCATTGTGGATTTGATTCATATTTCCCTGATGCTGAGTGATGTTGAGCATTATTTTGTGTGTCTGTTGGCCATCTGTATGTCTTCTTTGGAGAAATGTCTGTTTATGTCTTCTGCCCATTTCTTGATTGGATTTTTTGTTCTTTGGGT